GTTGCACTGATGGTAATGCAAAATGTGCAAATTCTTCAAAAGATGGAGGGAGGTGCTACTCCTCGGTTTATAGCAAAATCGTGTGGAATTGCAACACGATTGTGTATGATGTACGGAAAAATTAAGAAAAGCTGTTGAAATTTTACAGCAACAGTGATTCTAACACCGGAAATCTTTGCATGAGGCAAACCTCGATGCTGTGTATATATAATACAATGAATAATATAATCAATTTATATATGCAATAATAATTTAATGCATATAATAAGTTATTGCAGTAATGTATATAATAATTTAATTAAATGTACCCAATATGCCTTACTTATTTTGCACTTTTAGTCTGAATATTATGATTTATCTTTTCTGTCCTGAAATCTGCAAAATCTGCACAACCCCTGGACAGTTATTTTATGCTACGAGAATCGACAGCAAGTTGTCGCTGCTAGTAAAAACAGGTTTGCTAGACATCCTATATTCTCTGAGTACGGAAGTTGTCGAAAGCACGTGAAAAAGTGTTGTCATGTCATTAATCAGGGTTGTGCAGTTGATGTACTAAGTAGACTATGGCTTTGTATGTGTTTACACCGCTTATTTTTTCATATTTAAACGAAGAATACAGTCGTAGATGTCTGAATCGGTGGCGAATTTATAGAAAATATGTTGATGCTTTTGCTCTGCCAAAAGATGTTTTCATTGTGTATTTCAGATTGCCAAAATTTATAGTTATTTTAATTTGCGATGAACTGAGAGAGTATTTGGAGCCACAATTCAGAAAACAAGAAAGCAATTTCTACTGAAAGAAAAGTTATTTATACTATTCCTAAAATTATAGATATAAATATGTAATTGTATGCTTTAAAAATGTAGAAGATAATTAAGATTATCAAGCACATAAACCTTTTTCATTTAATACAAATATAGACATCCGATAAGCTTCTACTCGATTTACGCACAGCAAGGATTACGTTTACTTTAAAATCTAACAGTTGAATACCTTACGAACAATACTGTGAACACAAAAAGGAATGTCATTCATTATTACGCAAAATTCACACTACTGTAAAATAATAATAATAATAAGAATAATAATAATAAATAAAAAATTTAAAAAATTATAAAACTATAAAATAGCTAGTAGTACAGCTACTGAAAAAAATATTATAAAACTATAAAATAGCTTTATAATATTTTTTCAGTAGCTGTAATACTACTAGTGTGATACTTTTAAAAATAAGTAATAAGTGTGATACTTTTAAAAATAATTAATAGCCCAGAGGGGCTATTAATTTCGTTTGGCCATTTTGTGGCGTTTCACAATAAATGGCGTTTCACTTTTCAAATCATAGCCACCAAGTATTATCGCACTCTATTATATTTAAAGAAATTAAATAATGAGGAATCTGCAGAATGTATGAATGTTTCTTGCACTGTGATAAAACAACGGTACCTAGAGCCATGAAATTCTGAATAACGCAATCCTCCATCCTAATATAGGCATCTGGAGGCCTAAATTTGGAACTGGGAATTTTTATTATTATCCATTTCATATATCATATTTTGTAAAGCATTTATGAGTTTTTGATTAAGAAACCCAAAGATTTCAAAGCGAACAATGGCAACATTGAACGGGGGAAAAAAAAAAAAAAAAAAAAAAAAAAAAACATTTTCATCTCTAGCGCTAGATACTATGTATCAGAAATTCTAAAGATATGCTTTTTTTAATTATATGATATTGCTGTTGAATTGAATTTTATGGTTTTAGTGCAAAAAACATGATATTTAATAAATAAAGGTAACACGCAAAACATTAAAAAAAATGGCCCTTTGAGAATAATATAAAATCTGAAGGCTGTGTGTGTGTGTGTAATTTTATTACGTTTTAAAACTGGTTTCTAAGTGAGGAATTTCTAAGGAAAACTGACTCGTATACACTTTACACATGGGCAAAGCCACAAAAATGCCGGCCAGCTCGTTCGCGGGATTCGAACCTCGGACCAAACTACCTGCGTTCAGCGACTCTACCGCTAGGCGGCTGGTAGGCTTGTTAGCAGAATTATACTGCATTATTATTGTATTATGCTATAAGACTGAGGGTTTGTTCATGGAATAGTACTTTTGTAACCTATTATAGTATTAAAAAATCATTGTTTCTTTGCAAACTTTAAAAAATAAATAAATAAAAATACTGTTCATAGCATTCTCATTTTTATATTGTAAAAGAGATATTGATTATTATTGGTTTTCTATTTAAAATGTGTCGAAACGCTGGTTTGACAAGGACTTCAACTGCAGGAGACCTACACTGATTATTTTTACTTTAGTTACTTCCATTGTGAAAATATTGCTGTCTTTTAATTATTTTCACAGAATAAAATCTTTTGAGAAGGAAGAATATTTAAACTGAGCAGTTCTTATATCCATATAAAATTAAAATAACAGCAATGTTAATATTAAAAAAAAGGTATTAGTAATTGTGTGACAAAAATTGCAAAATGAATTAATCACACATACAGGATAGATTAGTTTAATTTTGGTTATATATTTTATATTGAAAAAATATTTTCTTTCATGTCAATTATAGAATAAATTATTTAAAATAAAGCATTTTGATGCGTGTGTGATAGTTGAATGCAGCAATCGGCCATACTGTAATAGCAAATGAATTTTATTTCTTTTCCTGAAGGAAATAATTTTCATAGAAAAAGAAAATAAAAAAGGGAAGAAATATTAAGAAAGAAATATTTTCTTTCTAATTTCTTATTTAAAGAAATATTTTTCTAATAGTAACTGTAAAATAAATTGTGGGAAAACAGTTTTAATGTAAGCATGGAGGAAAAAAAAACTTTGTTTGCTATTAGATTGTAATGCAAATTAATCATATTATAAATTTAAATGATTAAAATTGTTTATTTCTAAAAAAAAGATTTGAAATGAAACTTTAAAAAGATTTGAAGTAAGCTTAATTCATTTACTCTTATCTATTTACCATTGCTTTCATGGTATCCTATATCACTCTTTATTTCTTAGCTCTAAATTCCTGCATTAACTTTCCCTTAAAAAACGGGATTTTCCTTCACATAACACAGCAGCATGTTCTGCTGCGTGTTGGTCATAATACTGTTTTGTGCAATTTTTTTCGAACTACAAATGCAGCGTGTGAGTTAGTAAAATAATGGGAGAATATTCCTGGAACTTCAGCCAGCGCACGCTACAAATTTCATCACTCGTCTGTACTGCGATTGGTCTAAAGCTCCTTGAAGCCTTGCCCCCTTTCAGTAAAGTCAAATGGACCCACCCGCCCACCGAGGACCACAGAATAGCTTTCTCCGATAAGTTGTGATGGCTGTCCATACCAGTTCTTTTTTAGTCAATATTGTTCGCTCAAGTTGTAGACAGATCCAGTGATCATAGAATAGGTGCCCTGGTCCCAAGCTTTGCAGATTTATGGACTTTTACTGTATTGAACTTATAAAGTCTAAAATTTGTGCTTAAAACTTCTTAATTTTTTTATATGATTTGGTTTTCTTGCATAATAAGAAATCTCCAAAGAAGAAAGCGTAATAAAACAAAGCACATTCACTTTATTAATTACAGTGATTTTTTTTTTTCAAAATTGATTTGTTCTCCTTGAAAAGGCAATAAATTTTGTATTTATAACAGTAATTGTTTCAGTTTTTGATTTTATTTACTGCATTTTAATAAAAGTGGCCCATATTTTAATTTTGCCATAATATTATTTTTAATGAATTTACCTTTCAATATACAATTCTTGAATTTTAATGAATCTTTTCGGAAAAATGGACATTTATTAATTTTACTTAGCCATTTTATTAATATTCACTATTTTATTAATTTTTGTAATTTCTTTTCCTAAGAGATAATCCCAAAACTACTTAATAAATACATGCATATATATAAATACACAGAGAGAGATAATGAATGAAATAGTCATTTCATGCCAAGAAAAACTGCTACAATATAATTGGGATTTTATACTACATGCGACTGAGTGATAGAAATTCACAGTTGGTGAATTTCTGTGAATTTCTAACACTCAATCGCATGTAGTATAAAATCCCAATTATATTTTAGATTTAAACAATTTTCAAGTACCTTGGTTTCTTTTGAAAGCAGGTTTCATTTCCCAAGAGTTTTTATGAGAAGCATTTGAACAACCACTAATTAAACAGTTTTGCAGAAAAGTATTTTACTGTTCTTTTGCCCACATATAAAATAACATTTTGGATAACAATAAGACACAAAGTTTGGTTCTTTATTGTTAACAGGGCACAGTGATCTGTTTTTGCTTAAAAAAAAAATCAGATAATTGCATAAACTTAGCATCAAGCACAAATTTGGTGAAAAATGACAATCTGCATTTCAAGACAAAAGCAAGAGAAAATCTAGGATGGGAAATTGTCAAATTGGTATTCATTCTTCCTGCTTGTTTGCAACAATGCTATTACTGATGTGATATAAACAAGCTACTACATTTGGTGGTTTGATGCACATTTTCAACTAGAGTTCTGTTAACATTTAAAGCACCCTAACTTCTAACATACATAGAGCCTTCATATCATTTCCTAATGTTGCTAATTTCATTATCAGTACATACAAAATCAAGCTATGCAGCAAATAAAGTAATCTGTTCTTTACATATATTTCCCAAGTAACAATTACGTAAATAAATTTTTAATTATCTTTCATAAATTATTACCATATTAAGGAAATAATGATATCAAAGGTTATTCAAAGATGTTAAAAATTAATATACTCGAATTGATTAGAATTATTATTCAGTAACCAGTTGAGAAATATATTGCTTTGAAAGATCTTATTTAAAAAGAATACTATGTATGTAAGTAGCAATTCCGACAAGACAGACTGAAGGCTAAACTGCATTTATCACTTCCAAGAGTGGAGAGAAAATGACTAAGTATAAAAGACATAAATTTCACTATAAATTCATTATTAAAATTATTTTAATGTTATCAACTTACCTCGAGGCACAGGTGAATCCCTCAATAACTTGTTTTGATTAAGTTGATATGGCACCTGATTACGTCGACGATTTGCAGGATTAGGTGCATAACCAATAGAACCAACCATTTTCATTGTATTCAAAATAAGAGGGTCAATTGGTGGTGTAGGTCTGTAATTTTATAAGTAACAATAGATGAATAACAAATTTATAAATAAAAATATAAACTATTACCAGAGTAAAAAGAATATTCAAGAGAAATACTATTCATGAAACCATAAACTAGCAGATAGATTGATAACCTAAAAGTCAATTCTAAATCTGAAACTATCAGATAGACTGAACTATATTATAGATTAGCATGGCACACAATAGCAGAAAAATCATCAGCAAATAATTGGATAGACCAGGAAATGGGAAAAAAAAAAGGAAATACGAGGGCCATCCAGGAAGTAGATTACGTTTCCGTCTGTGTCTGCTAGGGGCGGGGCTAGCGCGGCCATCTTGGGGTCAGAGCGTTGCGCAGCTCAGTCTGCATCTAGCCGTGCTAGTGAGAGGTTCGTGCTGTGCTCCGTTCAGATACTGTGACGGTTTGAAATGTCTGCGTTAATTGAAAATCCCGCGAGGTGCGCTCAGTAATAAGGTTTCTGACTGCAAAAAACTGTAAACCGATAGAAATCCATCGGCAGCTTCGTGAAGTGTATGGGGACAACATTATCACTGAAGGTGGAGTACGTCAGTGGGTCATAAGATTTCAAAATGGCCGAACCAATGTTCACGACGAAGATCGAAGTGGGAGACCCAGCATAGTGACCGCCGAACTTCTCGAAAAAGTCGATGCTAAAGTCCGTGAAAATCGAAATTTCACAATAACGGAACTTTCTTTGAGTTTTCCACAAATTTTGCAAAGTTTGTTGCACGAAATCATCAGCGAAAAGCCTGGTTACCACAAGTTTTGTGCAAGATGGAAGGCAAGAAGAGGTAACGAAGTGGTTGAAGGCGCAGGCGGCCGAATTTTTCCGATGAAGGAATTTCCAAGCTCGTACATCGCTACGATAAATGCCTTAATTTGTATGGTGACTATGTAGAAAAGTAGTATTTGAGTGTGGCTTTCATCTGTATATAATAAAATTTGTTTCCTATACTTTATTTTTTTATTCCAAAACGTAATCTACTTTCTGGATAGCCCTCGTATGTGTTAAAAATGCTGGTGCAAAAACTAGTAACTTGTAGCAAAGCATTAATAAATACTTCTCATACACAGAAGTTCAAATGCTTCAGTGTTACCATTAACAAACTGATAAATTCACTCTTAGAGATCCAAAGTTGAAACTTTAAAAATTTCAAAACACTCATATACTTTTCTCAACATAATATAAAAATTAGGGATTAAAAAAAAAAAAATCGGAAAATTCAACCTTGGACCTACTATTTTATTTTGAATATTTGATTAATTAATTACGTGATAATGCATTTTCAAGATCAGAAATGATATAAATGCAAGCACATTTTGTTTTATAAAAATTTAAAATATGTATGGTAGATCAAAGCAGAAAAAAAGATTTATAAATCTAAGCTTTATATTTTTTACTTTTAAGTTAACAATTAAGTTCTTATTATTTGCCTTTCCCTCCAACTGGAAAGTCAAATACTCATTAATGACTTTGGAGAGCATCTGCAAACTCACTGCCAATTAATGTTTTACCAAGCTAATTCATGAAAGACCTTTTTTAAAATAGCACTGTACTAAGAATTCCATACAAGAGCAATGAAACAAAATTAAAACTGTAGAAACATCAGTAATAAAACAGTTATCTTTTTTTTTTTTTTTTTTTTTTTTTTTTTCAGAAAGCCTTCTTTTCTTTTCTTGCATTATTGTTCTTCACTTGTACACAATGATCTGTTTTCACTTTAAAAAATTCAGAACTTCATTTCATAATTCTATGAACTCCACGCACTGGCCAAAACAGACCATGGGCTATGTACATACCTGGGTTGACATAGAAATATTTTTGGCAACATCCTGGGTTGCCACATAACCATTTTAGCGACATAACTACTTTGCCTTATTAACACTTTTTCATTATTTTTTGGAAAGGGTGTGAATAATCAGAAAGTACTCAAAATTAAATAAAAACTAAGATAATTACATAACCATTTCTATTAAAAATAACTGACAAAATTTTGTGGTCAAATGATAATTAATAAATAAGAGAGTCACTCCAAAAATATGAACATTTAGCTCCCAGATACAGTCAAAAATCGTTAATTCGGACACCCATAATCCGAAATGATCTATAATCCGGGCCTCAAAGTTGCCAACTTTCTGCGCATGTGTTGCGTTGATGCATGCGCATAAGACCTTTACGGCTGCAAATATGCATGTGTGCATGTGCATAATAACATAATACGCTTACGCTTCCGCGTTTAATGTATAACGGACGGTATAAGCTAAGCTAAAATTATCTAATTCAGTTAATGTTGCAGATTGCATTGTTCCTTAATATTCGAATTGGATCTGGCTTATTATTTTTTTGCAAACTGTTAAGAGCAATTTTATAACAGTAAGCTTGAACTTTCGATTATGTCAAATAGATTTTCTGATATATATTTAGTAATATGTAAAGGATCTACAAAGCGAAAGTATGTTTCGAAGTCCATTAAACAAAAAGTGGAATTGCTGCAAAAAATGGATAAAGGCATTCCTTTGTTTATCTAACCACTCCGAAATCTGTTTATCAATTTCAAGCTGCTCTGCCGGGGGGGGGACGTCGTGGCGTGCAATGAACTGGAAGTTGATCTGTCAGCACTATCCTTATCTTCAAGGCTGATGTTTTATTTTATTTGGATTATAATTCCTTACTAAATGTAGTATTTCATCTCGATGTACTCCATCTTTGACATGAGTTAAATCAAATCCCTCGTCATTATAATTCGCTTCCGATAAAGAAGAAAATGACACAGAGATTATTAAAAACGAAACAACTTACATTGAAAGAAATGTTTAATAAAATAAACAAATAAATATTAAGTTTTTTTTTTTTTTTTTTTTTTTTTTTTTTTTGATACCCTTTAGATCATAATTGTTCTTTATTTCATAAATTACGGTTTCATATTTTTAATTTTATAATTTCTGCATGCCATCTTACCAGATTTAAACTGATGATCTATAATCTGGAAAAATCGATAATTCGGAATTGCCGAAGTCCTGATGAGTCCGAATTAATGACTTTTGACTGTATCTTGTTAATTGATTAAAATATATCATGAAAAACTTCCATTTTAGAAAACAGATTAGAGCAAACAAAATAATGTCTTTTAATTTCAAATGCTTCAATTTCATTGTTCAGTACCTATAATTAGTTCTAATGATACTATATTTTGAATTTACAATTTATAAAATTCTGTACTTTTATTAAATTGAATTTAATGATTAATTGCCAGATATATTTATATTCCTTAACACAATATTCATATGAATGAAAATCACTTTTTATTTTTTAATGCAATGATAAAGGCAACATAAATTTATCAATAATTCAAATAAAGATTATAACTTACCTGTATGCTACTTGGCATAGTTCTGGAGGCCAATCTGAGAGGAGTTTACCCTCACAGTTAGGTAAAGGTATAGTAGACAGAGGAGTAACTTCATCATTAATATCTATAGGCTGTAATGGTTCAACCTAAAGAAGAAAAATCCATTATAAAGTCAAGCTATTTGTTTCAAACTCTGAAAATGCTGATATGAAGGAGAATGAGCGACAGAAGAAAAGGAAACTTACAGAATCTGCAAATTCTGTAGGCCTGCTGAACTGATTAAATTGAACTTCATTACTAGCACCATACAAATGTAAATAACCTGTAAAAAGAAATGAAAAATTTTTAATCTTAAATTCATATTAAGAGGTGCTATCAGATATGCCGAATACAGAATGAATAACTTTCTGGATGTATAAGCAGATATATTACTTATACATATAAGCCATTTCTATTCACAGCATGTCCACAGAATTCTTTGCACAATATACTCAATGGTAATGTGCAAAGGACGCAGTGATTAACATTGGACAACAATATATTTCAGAAATATGTGCCAAAGTTTTCATCTCATTTCTTAATGCTATCAATTCCATATTTTTGATATGGTGGTATGAGCTAACTATTTATTTTATATAAAATGTATTCATAATATTTTTGGATGAATATTTTTTATTTAATTTTGGTGGAGAAAGTGAACTCGAAATTCTTTGTACAGATTATAACTGTATGGTAAAGATGTATAACATGGGAGTACGGTAATAGTTAACTAAAATTAAGATATACACAATTTATAATTGATGATGAATAAAAAACTGTTTACCAGCAGCATCTCCAAAAGCAAAAGCTTGACAGGATGATGATGTATCAAATGTCAAAATATCAGAAGCTCCAGTTTCAACTTGATGAATAAACAAAGCATACTGGTCTGAATTATTAGTATCTACCATCTGGAACTGTCCAGTCTAGAAAAGATAAATCACATTAAAATTTTAATTTTCTGATATATTTTATTGATTTACTCTCAATAAAATAAACATTCAGATCATATTGACAAGGAATTTCTAACTCATTTATTCTTATTTCTATGTGACAAAATTCCAACTTTAAAAAAAATTCAATTTTAATAATACTTTTTTGCCAACTTTCTTGAATTTACCATGTCTGTTTATTAATGTCAAAATAAAAAAGGTAAAATCCTTTCTCATATCCATCCCATTTTTTCCTCACTAGCAGCTGCTTAGTTTAGAATTTTATTTAAGAAACCTATGCACACATACTAAATCTATAAACAGGAGGAAAATATTCACCTAAATAACATGGAATAATGCAGCAAAAAGTTTCATTCACATATTTAAGAATTCTTAAATGAAAAAAAGTGCTGTTTACTAAAGGTTAAAGGATCAAACTGAGACTACTTTTATCTAGAAAAAAAAAATTAAGACATATAGTAATTATGCATTGATATTTTATATTTGTTTCACGATTAGCAGTTAATTATTATGTAAGAAACTAAATCTTACTTAAATATCCACATCTGAATTCAGTTATCTAAGCAAACACATCACTGGCATTTATATTATCTTATCATCATACTTGCAATATTGTGGAATGGATCATACAAAAATCCTTACCAAATAACTTTTCTGTAAAAGTGTACAATTAAAACTAATTCAAGGCTAAAACTGCATACAAAAAGCAAAAATAAATTACTTACTTGTGATACTGCACACAGACGAGATGTATATGCTGGAACAAAACGAAGCAGTAAAGGTGGAAACATCATTGGAATAGGACTCATACTCTTCATAACTCGAAGATCATAAACTTTTAGAAACCTTTCAACAGACAGCTCACCATGCCTTATAAAAAAATACAAAAAGAATCTTATAGCATGTATGCATTAACATTTACCACAGCAACATACAAATTAATACCTTCGAAGCATATTTACAGTACATTCTAAAAGATATCACACAGAAAGCAAATCTATACATTCTTTTCATAATTCATTCTCAAAGAAACACATATAGCAGGATTTTTTTACATAAAATCATAACACTATAGGGTGCAGTCATAATAAAAAAATCTACTAGCTAAAATATTAATTACAATTTTTATTTAACTATACTATATTTTGAATTTACAATTTCAAAATTATTTACAATTATAATTCCTAAATCAGTTAACAGTAATTTATTTTTGTCTTAAATTTACAAAAACCACAATGATTAATTTTATGAAAGATTAAATTAAAGGATAAAGGCAAAAAACTGGCTAGCATTTACATTACCATTACAGAAAAACAAGAATATATTCATTTAGATAACCATTCCATAAGATTTGGATCCATATCAAAGTACCAAATTTAAGGGTCTACACTAGTGAGCAGGCATGAGAGTTAATATTCTTTTAAAAGAAAGAAAGGTACTTTTTGACTACCCACTCTCCCACAAGAAAGTTGTGAACTTGTTGGCAATTTTGAACAGAAATGATACCTTTATATTTATTATTTCAACGATGCATCCAGTGCTGCCTACTTTTTCACATTATTCTTTTCCAATATATGCACATTTCTTGGTTTTTTATGCTGTTTTTCTCCTCATACACACAGTGATTTGCTTTCAGTAAAATAAAATCAGAGAACTGCACAAACTTGGCATCGTGTGAAACTTTGGCATCAAACTCCTAAAAAGAAAACTTAAAAAAAAATGCACATGATACCTTTAAAGTGATCCACATTAAGCTCTATACATGCACAAAGCTAAATCGAAGATTTTGCCAAGATGATGAAAACTACTATGCAGTCTACAGCTTTGTTAAAATGTAGAAATTCCTAGAGAAGGGATCATAATCTACAGTCACATTGGGGAAAATGTGTAGAGAAGTGGAAAGTGAGCTGGAGGGATGCCACATAAATATTTTTTATGGCATTTGTAGGTTGCCACATAAATACTTTTTGGCAATATGGTGCAATGGCTTCAATAATACTTTGTTTTGAGGCATTTTGATATAGATAATCAGAAAGTACAAAAAGAACTCGCACAAAAAAGAAATATAATTTACTAAGATATACAAATATATGAAAAACAATTTTTATTGATAGCAGCATAAATTAGATTATCTTTTATCACAATTATTAATGTCATGACAATGAAAACACTTTAGACCACTGAATTTTTGTTGTGGTGTTTTATGTGGGATAACAAGCAACTATGAATATTTGGACCAATACTTGTTACCTAAATAGAGGAGAAGCTTGATCTTGTCAGTCGTGTGTTATAACTGAAAAAAAAAACTTACATCATATGTTCTTAATTTAGAACACAATTCTGTGCAATAAATACATTTTTTCATTTTAGTTTTTTTTTTAATTTTCAGGTAAATAAATGCACTTTTCTAAAATATAAAAGTATATTCATATTTTAATGAGTTTGTTCTAAATCATTTCTTTACTGAAGAAAATGCCGTATTCATTTTCTTAAATAATAGTGCCTTTTTCTCATGCATTTCAAGAGCTTATATTAGGTTTTTAATAAAATATTTTAAGAAATTAACTATTTCTTCAAGCATTTAATAATGACAACTTAAGTGTTATTGGAACGACTTCAATAGAAGTCGCCAAATTTTCAGATTGTGCCAAACTCTGGCAAACTTGCGCATAATGATTCTTCAGGCATTTTCAAGCAATGTCATCATTTCTGTATGCATTCTAGTGGTTTTTATAAATAAAGTGATATTTAATGCCTTGAACTGAATTTTTAAATATAAACTCATGGAATTTGCCACAGAGATGGTAGAAACTGACATAAAATTTCTTAATGAACAGAGAATTTTGATGTAAAATCCCTAAAAGAAGCAATGAAGAGTTGCATTTGCTAGATAGCCAATATTACAGGAGTTTGCAAAATGCCATATCTTCGCAATTTTTTAAATTTTTTTAAGTATAAGCAGATCATTGTGTACTTGGGCAGAAGAACCAGTTAAAAAAAATTACAGAAACATTTGGAGAAAAATATAAGTGTTTTCTTTTTTAAAGTACGAATGCACCACAACCTTTTTAGCAGAAGGGCCACTAACAGAAACGACTTGGTTGCCAAGGGCCAATAGCATATGGAAAAAAATTGATTTGGTGACCATTATGTATGTACCGTATATACCCGCGTATAAGTCGAGATATTTTGGACAAAAAAAAGACTTCAAAGTGGGGTGGGGGTCGACTTACACGCGAGGCCATAATAAAATTAATTGATTTTCATATTGTTTATTTACCAAAGTATTTTTTATCGTATATTTACTTTTTTTCTCAGATGATTTTGAATAAATGTAGTACTTAAAAAAAAATTTTCGACTTATACGCGGGTTTCTTATTTTCTACGAATTTTTTATGTCGAAGTGGGGGGGGGGGTTGACTTATATGCGGGTATATACAGTATGTAAGCAATGCTAGATAGCCAATATTACAGGAGTTTCCACAATGCCATATCTTCGCAATTCTCTGATTCTTATTCTTTTTTTTTTTTTTTTTTTTTTTTTTTTTCTTTTCTTTTCTTTTTAGTATAGTATAAGCAGATTGTTGTGTACTAGGGCAGAAAACCAGTTAAAAAAATTACAGAAACATTTGGAGATATTGTTTCTTTTAAAGTACGAATGCACAATTTTTAGCAGAAGGGCCACTAACAGAAAACTTGGTTGCCAGGGCCAATAAATATGGAAAAAAAATGATGGTGATATGTATGTACCGTATATACCCGCGTATAAGTCGAGATATTTTGGACAAAAAAAAGACTTCAAAGTGGGGTGGGGGTCGACTTACACGCGAGGCCATAATAAAATTAAAAGAATCGGAAGTTCAAAAATTTCTTTATATAATGCAATTGTTTTCGTCCCGCACTCAAATTGGACGACTTATCAAATAAGTAACTTACTTGAAGTAATTTCATAACTTATGTGACGAACTAATCACAGAGTTTCATACTTTAACTAGACTTAGTTTTGATTAAACCAAAGAATTTTCGGCCCCCGAATAACTGATCAATATCGAGCAATAAAAAAAGTTTCGCCAACACGCCAAGAAAGGAGAAATGCAGATAGTTTTTACGTACGTATAAGTCTTTATAATAGTTATTGTTCATTCATGAAATACTTTTGTTAACAGGCGTACACGATCAATTTTTAAGTTAGAAAATATTGGGCAGAGTGGATTAGTTCCGGTCGACCAACATTTACAAAGGGAGGCAACATTAAAAAGCCCGATATTACATTAATTGCTCAGTGGGTTAAAGATGCTTGGAACGAAATACCCTCTGAAATGATTATAAAATCATTTAAAAAATGTTGTATTAGCAACGAACTAGACGGCACGGAAGATGATGCTGTTTTTGAAAGTGAAAATGACGACGAAGGCTCTAGTAGTGATTGTAACAATACAGAGTTCGAGACTGAAAATATGTATGATGACGAGCCAATGACGACAGAAGAGTTCTATGAAATGTTTGGCGAATCTGACCATGAATCGGACGTTGAAGGATTTTGATTTTGTTTATTTACCAAGGTATTTTTTATCGTATATTTACTTTTTTTCTCAGATGATTTTGAATAAATGTAGTACTTAAAAAATTTTTTCGAAGTTTCTCGATCGATTTCGGAAGTGGGGGGGGGTCGACTTATACGCGGGTTTCTTATTTTCTACGAATTTTTTATGTCGAAGTGGGGGGGGGGCGGTCGACTTATACGCAGATTACATACTTATTTTTGCTTTTTTTTTCTTTTTTTTTTTTTTTTTTTTTTATATAACGATGTGTTACTTGGGCGAAGAACGTTCAAAAATCGAAATTGCGTATAGGTTTTCTTTTTTAAAGTACGAATGCACAACCTTTTTAGCAGAAGGGCCACTAACAGAAATGACTTGGTTGCCAAGGGCCAATTGCATATGGAACAAAATTGATTTGGTGACCATTATGTATGTATGTGAGCAAAGAGGGATGGGGTTTCCCTTTTCCCTTGCATGTGCTACTGGGGCCAAAACACCCAGTTCAGCTTTAAAAAAAATATACAGTTTATGCTTGTGCATGATAATTTAATACTTGTTCACAAGTATTTTAATAAAAATGTGTGCAAGTTAGTCGTTGTTAAATGCCTTAGTGTGATGGTTGATACTGAATTTTATTAAAAATTTTTGATAGATTTGGTTGAAAGTTAGGTGTTGATATTCTTAAGACAGATTGCAAGTGTTGATCTGTAAGTTTATTTCTTAATTTTGACTTATTTAGATTCATAACAGAAAATGTTTGTTCACATATATAAGTGCAACCAAATATGGTAGCACATCAGCTTGCATTATTTTTTAAGCGCAAAAATTCAGCAGGTAGAGTTCCATAAAAATCCAGAATATTTAAGCCATGGAATCTGGATTTGGAAGTCAGAAGTTTAAATAAGTTCTATTTGAACATCTTTAGATGCTTCTTCAACTACAACAGAAAATGGATCCTGAACAGTTTAAATTTAACCTTATGCAACTCAAAGCCTACAAATTGCTTTTCAAAAGAACTAAGCAGCCTCTTTTTTTGATCTGAATAATCTAGTTGTTTATCAGGAAAATTTTCTTTGAATTCAGGTAAGGAAAACTGATACAGTTTTGACAGCCAAGCTGCTTTGAGAACAGCTGGAGTTTTAGTTTAAAAGCATATACTGCATTAGCCAGGTGATTTAAGAATTGTTTTTTTTTTCCCATCAATTTTGTGTTTAGGTCATTCAGATGGGCTGTCATATCAACAAAAAATTCTAAGTCGCACTTGAAAGATGGTTCCTTTAACATCATAGTTTGTTTGCCATTTTCTTCAAGGAATGGTATTATTTCATCATTCATATCAGCACACCTATTCAAAGCCACTCCATGACTCAACCAAAGTAATATATGAGATCACTATGTAGTACATCTTTGTGGCATTAATTGCCTGTGATTTAAACCATGTGAGCGAATAAATTGATTGTACCACTCACTACTTTCATTAGGCGGTCAAATACTAGTTCTTTCACACATAGCTATTCTTGGTGTATGATACAATGATACACAAGCAAATCTTCTTCAATGATCCAAATGGTTTCTCAGTAGACTCACCATGCCATTCTGATAGCTGGAGCTCCATCAGTAGTGATACTAACAACTTTGTTAATATCAAAATTATGTGCAGAACACCAATTTAAAACTGAGGATAAAATATCAGTTCCAGTTATGTTTGCCTCTTCATTAAATCCAACAAGTTCTTCAGTTACTTCAAAATTTTCGGAAATTCCTCTGACAAACAAAAGAAGCTGAGCTGTTGAATCTGTTGACTCATCGGCTGCTAGAGAAAAGTACTTAAATTTCGCAGCAGCATTCTGTAACTCTTCAGTAACATCCTCAGATAAATTTTCAATTCATTGAATTGTCATTCTGCTGAGACTCATATTTTTAAGTTTCTGCGTAGCTTCAGTTCATACTTTCTCGGAAGCCAACAATATATATTCCTTTGGAAAATCGCCATCAGTAAATGGGTGGCCACTTTTAGCAATTAAGGCTGCAATTCCCATACTAACTTCAACACAGTTATCTAACTATAAAGATGCCTTTGTAAATACATTCCTGTGAGCAACGAGAGAACTTCAAAGATATTCAGTTTTACGATTTTGATTTTCTCCCTCAAGTTTTGAAAATATTGTGTCGTAGTGTCGCTTACTGTTAAACTCCTTGCAAACACTAATTGTAAGATTACATATCAAGCATGTAATTCTATTATTTTGCTCCACAAAAAAGTATTTCGAAGTCCAGGCCTCCGAAAATTTCTTGTTATCGTCCGCTAACTTTCTTTTCGTTTTGCATCCATTCATCATGGCAACTATCAAAACCACGTGGAACAAAATCAGAAATATTCTACGTTGGTTCCACTTTCAAAATAATATTTAAACAAAAAGGTGAAATATTCAAAACATGAAACTTCTTAATAGTCTTAAAAAGAAAAATAAACACATATGTGATAAAACAATGTATAATCACGAAGCCAAAAGTGCAACAACGGCAAGCAAATAAATGCTTTGGATTTGAGCAAAGATTTTTCTCTTCCATTTTACTAGCACATGCATGCAAACACACTCATGCTACGTCATACCACAGACTCATTCTCAATATTCTACATGTGTTGGTCCTACATGCTAGGAGCAATTTTTGTGTTCAGGCAGCGGATATGTGCTTTTGTTGACCACACGAGCTTGGCTCAGTGCCAAATCTCACTTCGAGGGAACAGAGTAGAACGAGTAATGAAAGGGGGCTGACATTTTTTTCCCTCGCAACCCCTTCTAGAGACAATCGATATGTCAAATCGCAACAAAAGTTTGAAAATGTCTCGGCAGGCCACAGGTTGTGAATCCCTATTTTTAAAGTATCACTTAATACTTATTTAATAATTAAAAGTTGTATTTTAAATTACTAAAGTATGTTCCCTCTTCATATGTTGGTAATAACTGCCAATATACAAAAAACTTTTACCTTTTCATCTGTAAAAAATTGCACCAAGGCGGTTGTGTTAATATGGAAGTACCTAATAATGTTCAATTTATGTTCGACCAGGTACAGGTATGTGGACAATTGTTTGACTTGTGTGAAATTACTTCCGCATTCAAGAAATTACCAAATGATCAATGTTAAAGAAATGAGTGATATTTTTGATTGACTGTCCTTTTTCAATTCGTTTCACAGCATGCCAATGTTTTCTTTCAGTCACAGAAACATGAGTATCATCAAAAATTATCCTATGAAAATTATAAACACTTTGTATCAACATTTAAATGAACCTCCTGAACAACTTTTGAATGCTGGTAACAACTGCCTAATTAACATACCTTTGAAGAGTCGATCATCATTGCTGCAAGATATGATATCTGCATATTGCTATCTGTATTCACAAGGATTTTCAGCGACTCAAATTCAAGTATGCTTTCGAAAATTGCTAATTTGCATTTGGTGCTTAACTTCTGGAAGCCAGTGTATATAGTTACGTACTAAAAAATTATGAAAATGTCTAAAGTTCTGGCCACAGCATGATTTAGTGGGAAATTTTGTCAATTCTATAATAATGGGCATGCTCATCTTTTGACATATCTGTTTTCAATGTTCTTTGTTATGAGCCAGAGAACTTGCACTAAAGGCTTTTAAGATGGGATACTTAACATGTCTATATATTTTAACATCATCACTAGGTACATTTAATAAACTCAAGAGAGAAAGAATGAATTCTGGTCTTAAACAGACATTAACTTACACATAACAAACAGCATTAAAGTGATCTAAAGAATTTAATTTTTATATTTAAGAACATAACGTATTAAAAAATGCAAATAAATATATAAGTAAATTATTACATTTTAAAAAATACTTAAGTCTCTAGAGATTTATTTAAGAAAGAAATTATGCAAGGTGATTTAAAATGATTGATATGATTTCAAATAAGCATAATTTCATACCTATTAAAGTATATTAATTTTGTATGCATCAAATGAAAAAGGAACCCTCAGAACTTTAGAATTTAATCAAAATATTATTCACCTCCATCACATTTTAACATATGGATTTATGAAGTGTTTCTCCTGATGACTCAACTGCAGTAGAACTGATATTTAATTTTCACAGCTACTCTGTTAATTCACTGAATGGAGCTGAATTAAGGTAGAACAATCTCTTGATCTCTCAATGTCTTTTCAGGAGTCCCAATACTTATTTATTTTTACAAAGAGAACAAAACATTACAGGGAATTGTTATGAGGAATTACAGGACGCCTAATATCTGATATCCTCAAATTAGAGGGTAATCAGGTCTTATTACCAGGTAACTTATTCATAAAATTATTCTGAGATTGCATTACAGATTTGTTACTCTTATAGCTAAAATATTTTACAGACCTATATGATCTCAAAACTCCCACTACTCAACATCAGTTACACTGCAGTAAATATGAAAAGAATATAATTATTATCTGCAAGATAATAGACAAATTAAATCTGGGGAGTTTTTTTTTTTTTCATTTTGCATATCCTATGCTTCTGTGTATTTATAAATTTCAGAAACAGTTATCTGAAATCAAATGAATGATTTTGAATCACCTTGTATATTCATATACCTATCACACAGAAATAACATACAAAACAGAAAAAAAAAAAAAAAAAAAAAAAAAAAAAAATCAATACAAAAAATACATGAAAAATCATAAAATTTCTATTTTTTTTTAGGACTATGCAATTATATGGGAATTAACCAAAATTTTGAAAATCATACTATAAAAAAATTAATATTTTAGCTACTTTTATGATACACTATGTACTTTTGCGAGTTTATATTTGTGATATAAAAATATTCTTCATGGAGCTTAACTGATTTATTAAAAAAATTATAAAAGCATTTCTTTTAAACCTAATAAAATTCCATCTAAATTACTTTAACAACATTTTATGAGTAAAAAATATTTTTCAATACACAAGTTAAAAGTTACATCAGAGGTAGTGAAAAAAACCTTTTGCAGTAAATGCTTACCTTGAAGAAAAACCACAAGTTACCAGTTGATTCCCATGAACATCAAAATCTGAAAGCATTCCTGTATGGCAGTCGATAACATGTTCAACACTCAATGTATTAGGGTCATGAAAAGTTACCTAAATTAATCACAAAATATGTAGCATGATGAGATAAATTTAGTAATAAAAATAAACATACAAATATATAAGAAAAATATTTAGTTCATTTAAGTTCAATTTCTTTCTATTCTGCACTTTTTTTCCCCCCTATTCTACAATGACTTTTTGAATTAAAACTTTCCTACTTCAGTTTTGATTTCACATTTCTAGAGTCGTCTTTTCAAAATAATAGTGGCAGCAGTAGTAAAAAAAAAAAAAAAAACAGAAGCAGCATTTTGTGAAACATTCAATATAGAAACTGAGCATAGAAAACATTCTGAAGGCAACAGAATATCAAAGAAAAAACTAAAGTTCAAAATCAGAGAATTCAGTGCTAATGCATAATCAAGTTTTTAAACAAAAGCCACATAAATAAAAGCACGAGAGATTACTTAGTCCCCTAGTTAATATTTTTTCATGGAAACTGTATTTCAAAAAAAAAAAAAAAATGCTGATGTATACACCTTGACTTCCTTGCACGGAATATTAAATTATATTCCTTTTCTTCTCATTTTAACTTATTTTCTCCAATTTCATTAGATATATTCCTCATTCAGCCAATTCAGTTCTCACTTCACGGCAAGACAAAAATACATACAATCTCAAAATATCTTCATTAAAAATTGAAAAATATAGGAAAACATAAAACACTAAATACAATTAAAACAATTAAAAAATCAATTTTTACAATTAAAATTACAGTTACCACAAAAAAACAAGCAATTTGGCCAGAAGGCAGATTTTTTTATGCACAGAACTAAAAGCTTCTTTTTGTTTCCATTCGGCAAAAAGACACTAAAGATGCCAAAAGACATAATTCACCATTCTGCCAAGTTCCAAATATAAACAAATATGGCTGCTACGGAAAAAAAAAAAAAAAAAAGTAGGCTTAGCTGCACTTAAACAACTTTTAAATTGTTAATAATTTTACAACTATTATATGCAGGTTAACTAAAGGCATAGAAACCTTAACCAGAAGATAAGAATAACATAATTCAATCGTTTTTAAAGTAAAAAATGCACACTTTATCAACATTTAAGAGTAAAAAATAATTGAGCTCACAATGAGCTCAATTGAGTTTTATAATTCATTTGGGGAAAAAGAGTCCTTTATTCTGTTTTTACATACAGATTTCACATAAAAACATTGTTAAATTGCATCCAATAGCAGTCAAAATGGATTTTTCCATTGAAATATGATACCTGGAATTTTTCATGATTACAATACTTCCTTTTACTTTGTACAAGAAAGTAAAAAATTGCACGCATTTCAGCAAAATTTCAACTTGCATCAATTTTACAGAAAAGCCTCTGTATTTTTTGAAGGAATGTTAAAAGGAATCATTTCTCTCTCTTTTTTAAAGCAAATTAATTTTCTATTAAATAAATTATTTAAATAACTAAAATAAACAACAAATAAAGTAATAATTATAGCATCATTTGTAGAATAAATAGAAAGCAAGGAGTAAATAGTTCTAAGAAAAGATTTTTAAGCATTATGGAAAAGCAGAGTAAAAATTAGAATTAATCAAAACTGGTGGATTCTGAAGAACACGAAAGACTTATAGACAATCCAATTCATCCAATTCATTCTCAGGTTTATTTTAAAAGCATTTAAAAATATTTAAAGTACCCAAAAAATTAGTACTCGGACATTAAATTCTCCTTTTTGGGTATAAGATTTGTGTTCTTTAATACATAATGTTTAGAGTAATTTGACTAATGCACAATGAATCCTTATCAATTTTATCACCATCTATAAGCAAATAAAAACTGAGAACAGTTGCATTTATAAAAGTATTTGTAATCAAAAATGAAATAACTTCTTTCTTGCACACTAACTGCAAAATTATATAAAAATGACCACTATATAAAAATGAGATTACATATGTTCAGATATCTTTTTAGATTAAAAAAAAAACTTAAAATTTAAAATGACAATTCAAACAAAAAAGACTTGCTAGAATTAGGACTTTATCTCACCTTTCCACTGATATCACCAGAACATATAAAACGAGGATGCTTGCGTAAAATAGCACAATTATCTCCACTAACTTGCACAATGTTTATTTCCTGTATAGTATTTAGATCCAATTCAATAAGATTTCTATGGTGACCACCCATTAACAAAGTTCCATCAGGGGTTAAAACCATGCACTGCATATTTTGGATTTGCTCAGAGCTAGATAAGAGAAATATAAAAATTAATTGCAAAAATGTAAAAAAACACTTACACATCAATGTTTGCTAACCTTATTTTGGTAACACACATATTATAGTGAGCTTTAATACATGTTCAGTTGCCTACCCATGGAAATGAATATATGCTGAACATCTGCAGCACTCTATAAAAAATTCTAAAAAACTCTACAAGTGGCAACTGAACTAAAAGGTAGTGAATGATAATTTGTCATCATCTGGTTTTGACAACTGGGTCCTCCAATCCCCAGTTGTCCTTTAAAAGGGGATAGCATACAAAGTATTTTCTCCCTTCTTTCCACATGCCTTCCTAGTGTAACTGGAAGCAAGCTCAATGCATATCTTACTCATCTCCTTATTCAGGAGATATGGAGTTCAAATCCCAGCAATCATTGCAGATTTCTTTAGTTTCCCAACACTAAAAAAATTCTAAATGGTCTCTACAACTCAAATTTACAAAATTAAAAGCAACTACTATTGCAAAGCAATGAAAATAATTTTATCTGTTACCTAAGAAAAAAAAAATATACATTTATAAAAGGTTAACAGATAAAATAAGCTCTGAATAAAGAAAACATTTGGTTTGATATATACATATAGTTAGCTTGATGTACTAACGTATAAAATTGCTTACCAATGATTAAATATTGGAAGTCCCCTTCTAGCTGACATGCGTAAGGAATTGCTGGTTAAGGATAATATACCAGCATCATGAGGCACTATTTCCCGAATTTCATTGTTAACATGTACTTGAAAGGAAGTATACTTCTGCAGTTCTGCTGTTGAATATGAGGTCATGTGACCCTGAAAGTAAATCACATTCCTTTTAAATCAAATGCAATATCTAATTAGTTTTATAAAAGGTACTCAATAAAATAAATTTTTAACCTGAAACTATACTTTACTCTTGAATAACATCACAAGTATTTTATCATACAGAAGAATGGAATTAAATTCTGTATTTTGGGCTAATTAATTAGCTTGTCAAAAACATATTACTGGCTTTTAAATGCTGAGGCACTCAAAACTGATATCAAACACTTTTTCATGGCATTTTTAATAGGAATTAGTAGTGGAAAAGTGTTCAAGCTTTTGATTCTGTGCTTTGGTTCTTGTGCAGAAAAGTTTAACAGCAACTGCTGTTAACATAAAATTGTATGAAGTAGCGTATATAAAAAAGCACAAAACTTCATATAAAGCTTGATTGAAATCACAAGAAATATTTATATCAAACTGAGGGGGGGTTTCATTAAATTAATTTAGTGAAACAATTCCTATTAACATGCAAATTAATGATATGATGGAAGAATATTCAATGAATTTCACTGGACTTGTAGATAAACTTTATGAGATTGGTCATAAAATAGTGGTAAAGTTTTCAATGATTTGTTACTTCATAGCTTAACCAAAGAAAATAATAGTATTAGAATAACAACAGAATCCTATAATCATTTACACAGTTTAAATTCATCAAAAGTTAGGATACAAGAGGAAATAAAAAGGCATCAATTTAGAATGCAAAAAAGCTCATGAAACAACAACATGAAAATAAACTCTACTAAGAACACAATTTAAAGTCTTTAAATCAGAAGTTGGCACTGAGTCAAATGCTGTCCACCAAGACGTTTTGGGGGCAATCACCTCTACTAAATTTTTAACATATTAAAAGAAACATATTTATGGAACATTGATGTGATGTCTGCTAAATGGAAGAATCAGCTCTTCACAATCAAGGTTGATGCCTAGCAAGGATTGTATCAGACACTTCACATTTTTATCATACAAAAATGGGTCATTCTGCAGCATATCCATCTTTTAAAAATGAAAAACTGTTCTGCTTGAGATCTTTCTGATGAAAAATTATGATCTTTTCACAGCTCTATTAATTGCTAGCATGGCTGGTTGATCTTTACAATATGGTAACTGGTAGTTTGGCGACATTTTGGAGGCGATAAAGGTTACTACCTGGGACTTTGGTAATAATGTGAGCAGTACTCAGTTCCGATTACGCATTATTTTGCGTGAGGGAAATGAGAGATCATGGGATATGTCATGTGATATTAATGGACGGGAATTACGGTTCTTTAATCGGAAAAAAGGGGGGGAAATCAGGAAAAAATGTGGAAATTTTGTATTTAGCTTTATCTGGGTTGTGTGAAACAGTGTTATTTAATTTTTGGATCCCATGGCCCTAACTAAAGTTAATTCGAAATGGGTATTTAGGCATTGTGATAAAGAGAAGTTGCTTTTATTTAGCGGAGGAAGTATGGGAGTAAAAATTCGCCAAGAAAAAAATCTTGAAAATAATTTTATTGAATGAATAGAAAAGTGTTATCCGCCACGTAATCAAGATTCTGAAAAAGATTAGGTAAGTTAGTATTTTTAATTATTGAGGATATTATTTTATGCATTGTTCTAAATGTAAGGTGGAAAGGAATTTGGTATTATTGGGAAAATTGTTATAGCAATGATTAGTTTAAAGTAATTAGGATTGTAAGGTAATTTTTATTAATTTAATGTATGTGCTCATTTATATTTAAGTAGTGGTTTTGAATTTAATTATATTTTAATGAAATGATAGTTATTTTGTGAATTTTATGTTTGTAGGAATTTGGGTATACGTTTAAGTTGAAATAAATGTGCATGGAAATAATTTAAATATTTGATACTAAGTATTTGTAATGCTTGCGGTATGAATTCGTTGGTGACGTTGTATAATGAATAGATGATTTAGAGGTAAAAGTTTTTGGATATTTTATTTATTTTATATGTGGAAATGTTCATATTTGTAAAGGGTAATACTTTTTCCGCGATCAGGTTAATTTCATATACGTTCTTTTTACGGGTTAAAGATTGGGAGGAAAATTGTCATGTATTTTCGTGAAATTTTCTAATTTATGAGAAAAAAGCAGCAGTGTACATGGATATATAGTGTGCGCAATGCCATTTTTGTGCAATTCTGGGATTTTTTTTAAGTAAAAATAAGTCGGCGTTGTACATGGTTATGTGTATGTGTTATTTTGAAAAATGGTAAGGAGTATGGGTATTGTGCACTTTTTCCCATTTTGCAGTGAATGTTTGTCATGATTAAGCAGTTTTGTTAGATAAAATTTCTAGCATAAGTGTAATTCGGCTAGTAGATTTTGTTGGAGAAGTGTTCAGTAGGATAAAAAGAAAAGAAACATGTCTTTACTTCGTGAAGACAAAATGGCGGTGGGAAAAAAAGAATAGAGGGTTGCTGTAGGAGAGTTGGTCGCCAAATTTTCGCCAAAAAAACACCAAGTTACCATAATGTAAAGATCAACCGCATGGCTTTTCATATACTACTATATACATGGCTCATAAAAATTGTAGGATTTTTCAATCAATGTTCAATAGTTACACTAATTATTTGTAACTAAATGCGAAATTGAACTTCTTTGCATAGGTCAGTGCATTAAATATGCATATTTAGCACTTAACTATATTGTTGCATAATGGCTGCATAGTGGAATTTGAGCATGTAGTGTTAATTAAAGTTTTCTCTAAAATTTAATATTTATTGATTACAATATAAAGGCAACATTGAAACGAAAAAAAGTGGGAGTTAATTGGTTGATTTGAGTGGGCCAAACACAAATACAGATCACCCAAAATCTGGATATCCCTCAAATAATCATATCAAGAATTTGGAAGCATCAACTTCAGTAAATAAAAATATAGAAAAAATAATAATAGGCAATATAAAGAGAAGAGTAGAGAAGGTAAATATAAAGAGGGTAAATACAGAGAATAGCAATCACATCCAAAAAATCATTTTCTGCAATTGTTGGTGTGAGGGAACTGTGAAGTGACTACAAAACAAGTTGCTGATTTGTGCATTGTCAAAGATGGAAGTACATTTGATAAGATGAATCAGATATACATTTACGAATAAGAATCAGATGGAAATACATTTGATAAGGTTAACTTTATGTGAGAAATCAGGGTAAAAGTATATTTTAGGGTACCCCTTGGCGAATTTTGGCGGTACATAGATAGCGAATTTGTACAAGTCTTTAACTTGTTATTTTCGCTTGCGTAGCGGCAATTTTTTAGCCAAAAATTGCTGCTACACAAAGCCAAAATAATAAGAATTGCAGAAACTTGGTATCCATGTACACATCGACCTATTTTCACTTAAAAAAAATCAGAGAATTGCACAAACTAGGCATTGTGCACTCCCTTGAGTTTGTCCATCGATATATTTTCATTGAAAAAAGTCAAAGGAGCACCCAATTCTAGAGTCAAACAAAAAATACATAATCTCAATAAACTATATTTTAAACCAAACAATAAAATAACATAAAAAAGGAAAAACCTGTTTTGTATTTAAGCATTACACAAAGCAAATACTCACTTACCTCTCTGGCACACAAAAATTCGTTAACATCATCCAAAAACTTCCTAAAATTATCTGAACTAGAAACTGTATATCGGCGTAGTCACATCACAAAAATATCCTACGTATTCCGGACTAAAGTAAACCTTCATTTACACACCAGTCAATTAATGCACTTTTCCTCTTTCGTTCCAAATCGTACAGAAACTTCAAATTAATCTTACTACATTCAACCATTCTACCATCTAAAAATTAAACAAACAATGTACTTCCTAACCACAAATGCCACAAGAGCCCTTACAAAACATCCCATGATTCAAAATTCCCCAGAATAATGCAAACGGTTACATCATAATATGGTTTCCATAACATTCAACTACTCAGGTTACCATAAATGAAACAATAATTGGGCGATAAACAAAATAACAGCTTGGAGATAAATGAAACAACAACTTCGCAATACTACAAGGGGTACCCTAAAGTCAACTCTAACCGAAATCAGTAGTTTGTGTCTCACACACTTAATCTGTCAAATGAACCGGTTTAAGGTAATGGTGTCGTCATGTTTAAAAGAGCCAAGATGACTGAGATTGTGTACTGTTTACAAATAAGTCCAAATATAGTATAAAGTGGAGTTTAGGACTTTTTCTTAAATTTGGTAAAAGTAAGGAACATACAAATTGCCTTTCCTTGCACATGAAAGATCATGTTCCAAGGAAGCAGTTTTATGGCTTGAGGTACATTCATAAAAAATTATCTTGTTAACCCTCCAGCAGTTGCAAGAATAAGCAATTTAATATTCTTTCACAATTACGACCATAATCAGAAATGTGTGTGTGTATACACATACATACATACTTACATATATATATACCATGCCTACATGAACACATAAATACATTTCAGAATCTGCTCCCAACAACAGAACAGTATAAGCAATTCGTTCTTCCCATATAGGCAAGATATCTGTCAGTCATAAATATGAAATGCGAGTTGTGCTGGTTTGTGCCTGCTGCACAGTGTAACAGAAATGTGAGCTAAACTCACTGATGATCATCAAAAGACTAAGCTATGAGGCAGAGGGCTGCTGTTCGGCCAGAATTTTTGCTATTGGATGACAATGCTCAATCATATTGAGCATCTCTGGTGTCAGAATATTTGGAAACAGAAGATTTCACTAGGATGGACTATTCAATTTATTTACCAGATCTATGCTTCAGTGAGCATGCATAAGATGCCTTAGGCCTCAAAATTGCAGGATGGTAAATACCTTCTCAGACCCTCCAGGATCTGAAAAGTGCACTTCCTGAAGAGTGGCATATAATTCCACAAGGTCATAGTTTGTTATCAACACTTCAGGAATAATTTGGAAAATTCTAAAAAAGAACAAGATGCAAGCTTTGTATTTCTATCAGTAGTGACCATACACCATATTAAAGAAAATTATCACAAAAGTGGAAATAATTTTTCCACAATTTTAAATTTCCATACATACTGACCTTAAACTCAAAATTTTGAGAATAATCAACTGGCAAATGTGATAATTTATGTTAAATTACACTTTTGTAAAAACTGTTTTTTTTTATATCATTTTACACAACAGTTAAATTATGTTACTGTCAATATCTTTTAATTGTGATAAGTAGAGTACATTATTTTTCTGCATAAATGTCTTCATACTAACTCCTTGATTTCCCATCCACAAAAGTTCTTCATAGTTGTCAAATGAAACAGTAGACACTCCAAAATGAGTACCTCCATCTACTAGAATGCTTTGCAATAAACTGTATTCCTGTCCAAGTGCCATACCATCACAATAACCAGAAAGCTGTAACCCATTTGCATATGATTCCAGTTGACCTCCATCTAGAGCAGAAAAATCCTGCACATGGTATGACATTTTGGACTAACTGAAAAAAAAAAAGAAAAAAAATATTATGACATTCGTGAATAATAAGTGTTTAGGTCAGGGGCGAGCAACCTTTTTAATCAACGGGCCAATTTAAATTTTAAAATTTTTTAGCGGGCCACACAGTAACACTTATTAATAATTTACAATAAACATTAAAATAAAAAATATAAAATTTAAAAAAAAGTAAAGATTTCACATACAAATTTTAATGCAAAATAAAAACAAACAAAAAAAAGAACAGAAAAACGAATTTACTTGAAATTTTTAATGAGAAATTTGGCACTGTTTTTCGATACAAGCTGATCAATATCAGCCGGAATTGATGAAGTAGCTACACGTATGCAGTTTTCTAATTATGCATCACTCAGTCTTGATCGGTGGTCATTTTTGATTAATTTCATGGTTGAAAATAACTGTTCGCAAACAGACGTACTTCCGAACGGAGACATCATTTGCTTTGCATCATTTGCTTTGCAAAAAGCAGAAATTTCTCAGGGCTCACATAAGATTTATAAAAATTTTTGAAGTTTACTGAGCAAAACACATTTTTTAAATCGGTATTATTCCGCATGTCAATCACTTCCATTTGAAAGTCTTCGGGAACTGTATCCACATCGATATTAAATGGCGAGGAAAACATTTTCATGGAAACCGCTGTCTTCTCAACTTTGAACATTTGGAATCGTAATTGAAATTCATTGATTAAAATGTCTATATGTTGTGCATTTTTTTTAGTAGTAATAACGTTTTCTTTTTCTAAATGTGGAAAGTGAGACACATTAGTCTGCAAAAGATGCTGATTCCACAATTTTAATTTGCGCTTAAAGCCCCGAACTTTATCATACAAATTGAGAATAAACTGTTGTTTGCCTTGACGTTCCACATTAAGATCATAGAGATGCTGAGTTGTGTCGATAAGAAACCCAAAATCACACATCCATTCTTTATTACCAAAATCAGGAAAGGGATATCTCTTCATATCCAAGAACAATTTTATTTCGCTTTTTAAGTTGTATATATTTTTTTTTTTGCATTGCACCTCTACCAAGCCAAAATACTTCGGTATTAAAAACCATATGTGATTTAATGTGTGTGACTTTATAAAATTGATTAGTTTAATTATTGGTACTGTGACATTTGGCAAACTAGATCTTTTCGCACACAAATTTTCCTGGTGAATTATGCAGTGGTTAACGAATATTTCCCTTCCTGTGACCTTCTTAATGTCTTGAAATAGCCTTCCCGATACTCCTACCTCCATACTTGACATTGCTCGTGCTCCATCTGTCGATATACCAATAATCTTTTCTAATGAAATTAAAAAATTTTCCAACACATACATCGTACAGGTCTTTGTCGGTTGTAGTCCCTTGTATTGGAATCAGTGAATACAATTCTTCGGTAATATTATATTTGGTGTCAAAACCACGTAAAAATATAGCCACTTGTGCTGCATCACTAATATTGCAACTCTCATCAAGCGCCAAAGAACAATATTAGAATTTTGCAATGCGTTCACGAAGCGTTGTTGCTATGTTCTTGGACAAGTCTTTAATTCTCCTTGCAATGGTGAATCGATAAACTAATGTCTGAAACAATATTTATTTTATCAGGAAATGCTATTTCTGCAACAGGCAGCACAAGTGTGGCTATGTAGCCTACACCTTTTTGACAAAAATATTGCACTAACGCCTTTCAAGAAACGCAATAATTGCTAGTTAACAGCTTACCAGTCTGACTGATTGTGTGACAGAAGCAAACACAAGCAAGCACAGACGTGGTGCGTTCATATTGCATGTTTCAACAAGTCGCCGACAAGTGATTGATGCGAGAAAGTCGATAAAATACATTCAATTTTAGAAATGCTTAGCAGGCCACATAAAAATGTTTAACAGGCCACGTGTTGCTTACCCCTGATTTAGGTTAATAAGTGAAGAAAGATTATTAAATATTCACAAAATAACAATTAGAATTTCATTACAATAACTTCATTACAATTGTATAATGGGGAAAGTGCAGAATCGCACACTGTTTGGCACGTTTTTTAAAAATTGCATACACTCAGAATCTATGTGCACATCGGCCTATTTCCGCTTAAAAAAAAATCAGAGAATTGCACAAATTCAGCATTGTGCACTCCCTTGACTCTGTCCTTGTACACATTGATGCATTTTCACTTAAAAAATCAAAGGAAATACACAAAAATCCTATTCTTCTTACTCTTGTAAAAACGGCAAACATAACGTGCCAAATAAGCGAGCGATTCTGCACTTCACCCTTGTAATAACCAGAAGTGAACATTTAGGGTTGTACATTTGAGATTGTTACTCAGACAGAACATAAATGCATTTTGCATTGCAAGTTTCCTTGCAGACGTTTTCACCTTTTAACAATTATATTTATACTACTCCATATTATTTTTGATGAACACTACATTTCTTATTCTAAAGGCAGGAAATTATGCTTTTATGGCTCTCCCCCCCCCATGCATATCAGTACATAACAGGTTTTTTTTATTTCAATTCTTAATCCAAATTTTTTCATCTATTAATTCATGTATAGGACCAATATATGTTAAGGGCTAACTTTTCTGCAAACAATACTTTGTTCCAGTGTGATAATACTTTGAGTGATAATACTTACTATAGATTTTACAAAAGCCAGGCATGTTTTCCTTATTCAAGAATATTCTTTTTGGTTATCGCACATTGTACCCATGTGTCCTACACAACTGTTCTAAAAGCTTTGGGGTTAACTTATTGCAAACCATTCTTCTATGTATGCTAACATTTTACAGAACTTATTTTTGGGTGTTGTTTGATTTTTATAGAAGAAATCTGCGATTCCTTGGTGGCAGTTTGCAGTGTATTCCAGATTTCAATGCATTTTCAAGAGTTCCACCAAACTTCCATCATTTTATTACATCAAAGATAGTTAAACACTTTACATCAAAGATTTTTTGGATATTTGGAAAACTTTTACCACCTTTAAAAAGATTTTTTATTAAATTTATAACAGAACTGATTAGTAGGGTATGTTAATTTGAAGTGCCTCCCCATGTACGCTTCAGATATCAAACTGTTAACATATTTTGCTAAATAAGTAAAAAATATTCAAATGCATATAGTAATTCTTGTGCTGTATTTTAATTTAAAACAAAAAATTATAATAAGAAGATTATTTCACAACAATCGAGGCTTAAAATAGAGAAAAAATAATATTTTAGAAAAAAAAGTCTAGGTTTCCGTATTTAGTACAAGATATACACAAATAAATCCGAAAGGTACATATGCCCGAAAACAAATGTAATCCACCAAAAATTATAAACTGCAACAGTTAAAAAAGCTGTTAAATACTCTGGAAAAATTAATCACACTACTGTACACTTTTTTTGCTGCAAGACGTTGTGTGCGTTTGTTCCACTGTTCAAATGATTTTAATTTTCGTCATTCTTCTTTTCTTGTAAAAATTCTTATAAGCGATGCATTACAGCACGTAATCATACTTGGAAACTTAGCTCTATAACTGTCCATAATGCTTTTAACAAAAACATGTAATACATAATATATGACTTGTAAAATCTATTTACCTAATAAAGAATAAAGAAAGTAAACAAATTAAGTATATGGTTTCAAGGTACTCAATTCGAAACTATTTAGTACAGCGCATTTTTTACTTACAAATGAACAACATACAAGTAAAAATCCAAATACGCTTATATATGCATTTAAACCCATTCATTGACTGAACACTGATTCACGAAACACTATATATTTATAAAATAATTAGCAAAATGCAGCCATAGTTACAAGCCTCACAAACTAGCTCCAGACATAGCGCCAAGTGTCAAACTTTTGATTTTCTCATGTGTGTCGAAAAACACCGTATAAAATTACAGTTTAAACAAAAAAATCGAAACTTTTCTTTTTGGGAGAAAAATACTTTTTGGTTTTTCACTATATTATATTTCATATATTCCATTATCAGCAATCTTAAAAAAAAAAATATTATTCTCGTCATTAAATTTCTAAGAAAAAATTTTGGAATATATTCTAAGAAATTCCATTCAGAGTGAAGGAATATTGCATTGACTAATATTCGGACTGATTTCAGAAAAACAGTAGAATAATTCAAAAACGAAATAATTTGAAAATCTTGCACATACAAAGTTTAGAAAATAATGTGTGCGTCTTTTTCGGTTTAACCTACTTAAATTTTAATCGATATGTAACCATGGTAACCACCAGAAGTTTACATGAAACACGAGGTGGCGTTTGTTTACAAAATTCAAACGTTTATTTTCTGAGCATCATTTATTGTTTCATAATATAAGAGTGATTTTTCTTTAACTATTCTGTGATAACTTTCTACCATTGTAATACAAGCTATACAATTATTTGCATTAATACCTCATACTGCAAATTTTCACTAATTATTTAACTTAGTTGTTGAATTAGTGTTTAGGATGTCACAAAGCAATAACTCATTCCCATTTTACATTCATCCAATGAATCACAAGCGCAGTGTGCAAATTATTAAAGAAGCAAAAGCCGAGATAAAGAAAATGGAATCTCGTCGTCCAAGAACTCCTTTCTGTCCCAAAAAGTATGTAATGTTCCATACATACCTATAGTCTATAAAAGATCTGTCAAATCAATGTGCCTAATATACATATTATGTGCATATAGATATCATCATCTATGTAATTACTATGAACACTGAATATCAGCAGGCTCTTCTTTGACAGATTATGTAAATACAAATTTGTCATATTAATCAAATGCTATTAATGTCATTTGTTTAATTATCTATTTATTTATTTTTAAATTTTTACAAAATAATAATTTAATATTACTTTGAGACAAAATTAAAATTTCTGCCGATGCATATAAGTTATATCTCATTTAATTTTGAAAAACATTTTACATTCTTCAGCAGTACAAGATCAGGATTTCAGCCTGGACAGTCAAGACCAAATAGTAGTACAAGGTAAGATTTTCTTTCTTTCTTTCTTTTTTTGGGGGGAGGGGTTACCCATCTTTCTTTTTCACTATTTATTAGCTGAGTGTATGTGAATTTGTTATTTTAGTGTTTGTAATGCCAATAATAAACATTTTAAGTATTTGTGTCTATGTATACAGACAGGAGTTTAAAAGTCCCCAATATAATAAATGTAGCAAAATGAAAACATTGTGACAAACAACTTAAAATGTCAAACTGAATTACAGCAGACTGTAATAATCATGTATGAAATCTGTACTGCATCATAAGAGAGATATGAAAAATAATAAATCTTTATTTGATTAATAGTGTGAATAAAAACTTACTTTATAAATATAAAATAGCAAGCTAGCTCTGTTCTTTGTAGTAAATACTCCATGTCTTCAAGAGATTCATAGGTTCCTTCTTCCTCGATGCTTAACTATTTTAATGAAGCGTCCATAATCTATTCAAATTTGTGGAAGTATGTACCATAGAATTAGAAATAATTATATTTCAACCATTTATAAAGTTTAATAGATAGAAAAGTGTTTTGCTAATCAAGCATTAGATGATTTTTCATATTCCTTGCTCCTGAACATCACATAATCATTTTGCGTTTAGTTAATAGTACCTGATAACATAATAGACTTTATAGTATAGTGCACACTTTTTGTTGCTTACAAAACTTTGATCTATTGATGCAAAAGTTGTCTATTGATAAAAATGAGCAAAAAGTCGACAATACAAAAGATATTTAAATATTTCCAGGTTATCCATACATTTCTCACACGTTATAATAGCTGTAAAAATTATTACTTACATAGATTCCCCCCCCCTTTTTTTTTTTTTTTTTTTTTTTTTTTTTTTTGCAGTGTGGGCTCACCAGCGGCCGAGCGGTAAAGTTGTTAAACACTGGTAGTTCGGTACGAGGCCCGAATCCCGCGAATGGGCCGGTTGCATGTGTGATTTCATGGCTTTCCTCGTGTGTAAAATGCATACGCGCCAGTTTCCCATAGAAAACCCACCACGAGGGCATCCTTCCACTTAGGCAGACAGCCCTCGAGACTTTGCTGTAATCACATAAACCAAACCAATCTTTTAGATGCATTTGTGCACATCTGCATATAAAGGCCTACATTTCCCCCCCCCCCAAAAAAATACCTAGTAAGTTGTGGTACTAAGGAGCAGCTTTGAGGAAATAGCTTTCATATTTCAGAATTTAAAATATGCAACATTAGCATCGCAAAAAGTCACGAAGCTGCATTTTTTTTTTTTTTTTTTTTTTTTTTTTTTTTTTTTGTCGTTTTCAATCAAATGTATGTTATAATCGTGTTCTGTGTTTTATGGCATATCAAAACCAAAGGTGGGAATTCGCTCAAATGGATTATAAGATTTACTGTTTGGAAAATCTAATTCAGTTTCTCCATCGTATTTTGAGAAAATGCCTTTAAATGCATTTTTCTCAAAATGGAAATTCTGCAGATTCGCGATTTTGGTATGGTCCTAATAATATGCAGTTAAATTTCAATATGCCAAAAAAAGAAAATTTAAAAAAAAAATTAACTTAGAAAAGTAAATATTAATTTCAAATTCTAAATTTTATTATTAAAATTGGATTATAAAAGTTTGGTACTTTTCGTTTTGCCGGCGGAGGCGATAAAGTCGCCAATAATGGTACAACTGATGCCAAACAGAATATCCTCGATGGTAACCTTTAACGCCTCATTTTCAAAACAAGTCACAGCCATTTCTTATCAGATTGATTGTTTCTTTCAATATTAGCACGGAATTACGTAGAACGTTTTACCAGGTAGTTCAAGTTTATGCCCTAAGGGCATTCGCGGTAATTAAGTCTATTAGGATGCAATCACATCGCTCACCCGAAGGAGAAAATATAGAAAAGGCAAAGTCAAGGGTTAAATTCATCAATTCTAATTGAGAATGCACTGTTTTACAGAATTTCTGAGTAAGCTATTCATACGAATTGAAATAATTCTTGCACTGATCACTTGGGGTCACGTGATATGAACCGGCGAATCAGGATGTTGAACATTGAAAGCATAGTAAATTCTTAAATTAATGTCTTTTTACAAAAATTGTTGTCTTTATTTATTGGCTTTTTACAAAGTTTTAAAGGATATTAAAATGTTTATGGCTTCAAAATAAAAAAATTCTTAGAACTAACATTTGTTAACGTTTTTTATGTGTATACTGTATGTTGTCGCCAATAAAGTCTGCTTGGAGAGATTTGCGCCGGTGAAACGGAAAAGTACCAAAAGTTTAAGTAATTATAATTATACTGTACGTCTATGCATATACAGGGTAATCCAGAAGTAATGGAAAAAGTAAAAATTCAGTAATTTGAAGAACACAGACAGGGGCTCTCAACCGACATTTGTACCTTTGTACACCTGTGATTTCAAGTAAAAACGTAGCTGTTAATATGTTATGACGTCTTGTATATTTGGTTATTATAAACTGAGCTCGACGTCAGAACACTGTTTAGTGAATAATAATTAAGTTTTAAAGTATTGCAAAGTCAGGAGAAGTGTGTAAAAAATTCTTTATTAATTCACATAAAGTTCACAGATGCCACCAACTTGTGCTTACGAAAGCCTGTACATTGTTTCTCTACACTATTGTGAAAACTGCATCTCAATACTGTCCATACCTTTCAAATTGTTGAATTTTTACTTTTCTGTTATTCTTGAGTCATACCTTGTCCACAAAATTCCTTATCCGGTCCGCAGTTATTTTTTGCAGGCATTGTTCGTGGATTACATACTTCCAATATTTTTAATTTAAAGACATCAAGGTATTTTTCTATTACCAGGACCGAATCCAGAAATGGTTGTATGTATATAACGGTGTTTGCGTTCATTTATTCATGTATGTATGTACATACGTATGTATGCGTGCGTACACACAGACACACATGCGTACATACATACTGTTGCGTGCGTACGAGTTCGTTATGAAATGAATGCACAAGTCCGATGAAAAATGAACAAAAAATTTTTATTATCACAACAAAAATGCTTAAATTTTCTCAAATTATCATGCAGTATTACAATATCTCACAGTAGTTATCTTTTAACTACTCAAATATCCAATAGAACGCAATTCAAAACAGCTAAAGAACGCTAATCCGCGAATTCGCTACAATCAACAAGAGCAGTTTTCTAAACAACAACAAACTAAGCAACTACTACAAACTGAGATGTTTTCCTCCTTTTATAAGATTTTAAAATCACGCGCTAGAATTTTCCAGTACTTTCTCGAAATCAAAAAGAGATATTTATTTATTTAAAGCACGCGCTCTTGTATTTTTAATTTTCCGGCTTAGCTTTCTTTTAATATTCGTCACGCGCTGCACTGCGCGAGAAATAAAACCAATTAATTTATAATTGAGCTAATATTAGCTTTTTAAATACCAAATTCGTAACACTGCCCCCTTCCCAAGGACTGCACGTCCCGGGCAGTACAATCCCTGGACAGGAAGCTAAACTTACAACTGTGGCATGAATGCATTCATAAGCATTACATTACAGTAATAAACAACATGAACAATAAATGCAATAAATAAAACAAATCAAATGCTATCAAATACTAAATGCAAATCAAATACTAAATACAAATCAAATCAAATACACATTTAAAAACAAAATGGACCATGGTCTTATACTATTTACAATTATTTACATTATGTACTATGGCCATAGTAATGAGCTAACCTGTCGTAATGAACGACTTTAGGCTTAGAGTTCAAAGACTTACGGATCCGAACCACGACGTCATCCGTGTTCAGCACTGTATATGGACCATCCGAAGGTGACTGTAATTTAGGACTCAGTCCTTTTCGTTGAATTGGGTTCCACAACCACACCCTGTCTCCTTTGTTGGATCTCTGTCTAGTAGCTCTTGTGTCGCATCTGGTCTTCATTTTCTCCGTCGCCAAGTTGACTCGCTTTCGTGCAGAACGGTGCATCCCCTCAAACCGGGCCTTGACATCTTGGATGTGTTCCTCAGGCGATGAAGGCGCATCCGTACGGCGATGAAACAGGCGGTCACAAGGCAGACGAAGGTCTCGACCGAAGAGCATCTGAGATGGAGAATAGCTGGTAGTCTGGTGTTTCTTTTCGACCCTAGCATGATTTCGGCTGTTTCTCGAGCTGGTTCTTTCGGACAAAGCGTCGGCATTTCCAGGTGAGGATCCCTTCTTAGGATGGATAGTCATGTCTTCAGATCCTGAAAGCAGTTTGTTGTTTTTCAAGTCTAAGGAAAAATTGTATTTCCTTAAAAAGTCCAATCCGAGTATGCATGGATCTGTAATATCCGCCACATATGCCGTGTGATGGTAGGCGGCACTTCCAAATGTGATTTTCACGTTTAACTTCCCAGTTATGTCGATCTTGTCACCAGACGCAGTCTGAAGGGTAACACAAGATGGCGTCCAAATAAGTTTATCTTTAAACTGTTCAGCTAAATCTTTCCTAATGATGGTAACATTAGCTCCTGTGTCAATGATCATATTGCAAGGAACTCCATCGATATTCCCATTGATGGACAGTCCGTTATTGTTACCACTCACTGTATAAATTTTAAGCGCTTTAAAACAAGGTTTTTCATTATCTGGCAACCTCTGTTCCTCGATATGGTCACTAATTTTTTTACTGCTTCGTTGCTGGAAAATGGTCTTATTTTCCGTACCTCGGGGTGTTCTGCAGTTTCTTCGTATGTGGCCTTCAACTCCGCAGTTCCAGCACTTTAGAACTACTTTCTTTTCACTTCTGTTCCGTCTCAAGCCACTGACTTGTCTGGTAAAATCATCTGCTTTATATTTCGTACCCTGGGGTGTTCTGCAATTCCGTCTTAGGTGACCTTCACTACCACATCTCCAACACCTTAGAGCCACTTTCTTCTCGCTCCTACTCCGTATCAAAGCGTCCACTTGTCTGGCTAAATCATCTAAACGAGCCATCAGTTGATCCACTGGCTCATGGACT